GAAAAGTATCGTATATAATAACATACATTTAAACTGAATTGTACAATAAATATTAAAAAATTGTTACTACTAATGTTTTGGTAAAAAAACATAAATATGCTGCAGTATTGGAAACATTAACAGCAACTATAATTAATGAAGATGTATAAGGTATTTTCTTTTTAATAACTAAAACCTAGTACAAAACCATTCTCGAATCCTGACTACACAGATTATTCCCAACTGTCACCCCGCTCTGACCCTACGTGAAAATGAAAGGTTACATACGTCCCACCTTTTAGTCTCACTATCACCAATAAGGTGACAGAACTGTAATAAAATAAAATAAGTTCCAACCGTCACCTCGTCGCTAAAGGTCGGCCGAATGAAATTTTTTACTCTCATCTGACACCACTTGGGGACAGAGCTGGGTGATGGTTGGGAATAATACGATTACACTAATGCAAAGTTCTTATAATATTACAAATTACGGGAAAGTAAATAACCTTCTTTTGTCTAATCTCAAAGTTGACGTTTCATCAATATTTTATCTATATCTGCCTCCTCTAGTTCTAGTGGCTTTAGTGTAGATATCTCTGATAAAGTGTTACTAAAGTCAACTAGTATCAACTAGTACCAACTAGTAGGTATTTCAAGGTTACAGGTAGATTTATCATAAATACATCCTCTGTCATTGCCCAATTGCAGAGAATTTTATCTCGTTTATACAATGTTGTACCTGTCACTTACCAAGGTCAAATATGATTTCTCTTGTCTTTTGTCAATAGACAACTGAAGAAAAACACGGATTCGTTGGTAACACGTATAATCTATTTTTTTTAATGATTTGCATTTGTTGTGCTCGTACTGCAAAAGGTCGGATATTATAGCTACTTGACGAGGCTTTTCTGTTTAAATTATTATTCAGTAACACTGGTATTCTGGTATTTCAGACCAGTTAAACTACGGTAACATCACACATCTTTATCAATAGTGTATTGCTTTCTAAGTGGTAGATTAAGCATCTGAACATGTGTTGAATGCTATTAACTACAAAAACATCATTCTTTTTTTATAACAAAATGGGGCAAGCGGCGAGAACACAGAGGTGGTCAACGACGCCGATGGACAACCGCAATACCAAAGGAACTATAGATGCGTTGCCGGCCTTTGAGGAAGGCTCGTTCTTGAAGGACCCTAAGTCGTAGTTCTTTTTGTATTAGTCTTCATAGAGATGTTCTATCTTACCGAACAATCGGCTTTAGAGGATTGCACGCATCCCGAATCATCGTTCCGTATGCAGCACGCAGTGTCCCTCTCCCGTCGCGCTGACGCCGCTATTGCCCGCGCTATTCTTGCATCTCGCCGCATGCACGGCGCAAACTTAGCTCCTAAGTGTATTAGGTCCGCCGCCCGCGGTCCCAGCCAGAACGACGCCGGCTCCTCCCATTCCACCTGGAAACCAATTGAACATCAAGGTTAACCTTACTTCTTATTTCTGTAAACGCGCAAAATTAGAATGCATAGATGTTTAGATCAATAGTAGAAGTACTAGCTCAAGACACTAGAACGGTTAAGATAGATGAAGAATACGGTATTCTTAGTGGGTTAAAGTGTGATGGACTTGCAACTGTAGAGTGTGGAAAGTTTGTAGTTACAAACACGGACACGGAATTAAAAGATGCCTGTGAGTCATGTACCAGTCGAAGTTGATTTGATCGAAGATTGATGTAGATCGATGATATCCTGACTGAAGAGTATTGTGAATGTATTCCTGGAATCCGACTTTACCCATGACCGCCCACATGTGTTCTGGAGTAGTAGTAATTCTGACAACGTGCTAGCTCAAGCCGACATATATTAAAATTAAACAGATCTATTATAGATTCTAGAATAACATATGAAACTAAGTATTATCTAATGTTAAAGTTAGTACGTCTAATTTTATTTACTTAGTTCGTTTCGTTGTATCATGATATAAATTATTCATTCTATTTGTATGTTCAGACGGGTATCTGTCATGTGTTTCAGAGTTAACGGCTTAGACTAATTGATCAACAAGCTCACCTATGTAACTGGCTGCCAGCATACATAAAATATGATTCCATTTAAACACAATCTATGCTCTGTGGGATTGATCTTGCGCAAAACCTATTGTTGAATCTTGCCAGGAAGATATTCTAGTATACCAATGTATCACGTTACGTGTGTTTAGATTTTAGACCATGTATCTGGGTACAAAACGTAATTTTAGATGGTGATTTATCTATTTTGTAACATAGGTCTCGTAAGTTCAACAGTTGGTGTCTTAAGGCCGGTTTCTCAGTTACGTTTAACCATTAGTTAGTATTTTCGGTTCTATAAATTTATGAAATGCGTTTCCGAATTACCAAGTTTTACTCTAGTGAAACATAGGTCAACCTAATATACTAATGATTCGGTACTTTAGAAACCCAGCAGTTGACGAAAATCATTTAACATTTAGCTTACATTTGCAAACTCCTTGGAAATAAACAAACCTAATCTCTCGACTCATTGCCGATATTACTTTATAAAAAAATCTATCTTGCAACAAAATTAAATACATTTTACAGCCCAACTATTCCAATATCAACGTAAATAGCGAAGTTGTTCACTACTCAAGACGGACTGAATTCGTTAAGCCTGAAAGTTACGAAACAATAAAGGCTCACAAACCCCGAATACTTGACATCGTCGGTCCCTTTGCGGTCAGTCGAGCTTAAAAGATGGCGACTCGTAGATGACTTGCTAAGCGACAAAAAGTACACAAAAGAACCGAGTACAAAGCGTGTGTGACCTACTTACAGTCGAGACTCGTTCATTAATAATCTCACTTTGTAGCTTTTGAATGCGTCATAATGAATGTTGGTAATTTTAGCGTGTTTAATTGCAGATTATGATGACTCAGATATTTTTTGAATTCGCCAGGTCACAAGTGTTATTAAAATTATTAATTAAAGCTAACTTTTATATTATAGCTTCATATTTAACTGGTCTTTTACATCAATGTTAGAATAAAGAATTTTTAAAATATTCTATCTTATAAAGGTCTCCTGCTACAGGGAAAATGTGATCGTAGCATATAAAAGTAGCATTGAAGAAATCGATTTTATGCCACGAGAGGCTACGGTGTAAATTTTACAAAAGGCGGTAATTTTTATTCACGGAATATGTTGACATTGCGTGTTTTACTAAGCTCTCTTTTCGTTATCTATCTAAGTTCATTAAAAAGATAATAAGAAACATAAAGACTTCTTAACTTGAGTATTAATTCTTTTTAAAACAAAGGAGTACCCAATTATTCTTTCAAAATATTATAATACTGGTTACTTGTTTATCTGGTAGATGGCGTTAAATACCGGTACGTGACACTCAGAATAAGTTTGGCCCTGTTATAAATCCCCCAAACATCGTACATTGTGTCCTAAGCGCCGTCTCCGGATTTAAATGTGAGAGAACGCGTTCCGTCTAAAAGCTTTGCGTCATTTAACCTTGTTATGCTAAAGTCTTAAACAAAGAAACGGATTTTGGGACTCGACGCGCCATTGCTCCCGCGAGATGTGAATTTGTTTCGCTACGTTGGTACTCACATGGCTACAAAGAAAATTACGCTCTGGAAAAGTTCCATGTGAAACTATTCTGTTGTATTAATTAATTAAGTAATAAATCTTAATTCATAAGATGCATAAAACTTTAATACCTTTACCTTCACACATCGTCTAAGACCAGAACTATTTTTTTTCTTAAATCGTCATAAAATATCTGATTGTGATAGGTGAAATGTTATTCCGGATATTTTTAAGTTCGCTAAACAAAAAGTTCAAATTTAAAATTGATAAAATGTTAAGGTATATCCGCTCAGTAACAAGGAGACAGTGTTTATCTTGCGACGGTAAATAAAATAACTCAGTGAAGTGTAAACAACGTAAGCATCAATTGCCAATGTTCTGGAAACTGTAAATGTTGCGTACGCATTTTAAGCTACTTTCACATTCCACATACAGTTAAAGTCTATTTTATAGCCATTTAAAATTCCCCTTCTTTTCTGAGTACAAAAAGAACGATGTAAATTGTACCCAACAAATATAGCTGCATCAACTTACAAGCAAAAGGAATTTAGAAAATACGTCGTAGATTGTAATATTGATATCACATCTTCAATTTAGTGAAAAATTAAATCGACATAAAAAATTATGGTCGTTAATTAATAAATAACACATTTTCAATATTACTTAAATATTAACTTTAAAAAATGTACGAAATCCAATAACACATCGCTACATTTTATTTATGCGTTTTAATATCTTTTTCGACGTAATAACGCGCGTTCGTTTATTTAGTGAATAAAATTTTATTACAACATAAACTTGTATACTTCATGAATTGAAAAACCATGTGCTGTGAATTAATTATTAAAACCAATTTCACCATCGCCAAAAACCTAACGAAAAATCATAGTTATTGTAAACTTAGGTATAAATATAATATTAAAATCGATTCCAATTCAGAAAACCAAGATCGAAGCTTATAATAAACGACGTTTTTAATTATTCAAAAGTTACGTTAGATAGACATCAGCCATATTTAGAAATGGTAGTTTTAGAGCCACAAAAACCTACAATTCAAAAAACATAATGAAGCTTTCGATCAATAATATTCGAAAATGTAGATTATATATTCTCACCTGTTGTAAACTGAGGCTCTTGACCATGACCTGTCCGGTGTGCGTGTGTCGGCCAAAGCCCACTGGTCCAAAACCGTAGCAGAGCAGCGACAGCAGTAGAACCAGCGTCTGCACCGTGCTCACCCACCACGTGAAGTACGGCCGGTAATCCGTCAGCTCGTCTAACTGCTGCGCCACTTCTTCTTGGTGTGTCACTGACTTACGTAAGGAACGTCTGGAAAATAGGTAAGTCAGGAATTAAGTATTTTTTTAAATATTAATCTCAATTCTTTTCTCTCAAAAATTATTTTATGTATCTGCAATGCGGTAAATCGCTTGTCATTAGATGCCTACTGGATGCAAAGATTTTCTATCTCAAAAGTACAAAGTACATACATGTTACAAAGTGAATCAAAACTTAACAATGATACGAAGTTTCACAATCAGACCGAAGTTGCAGTAACAATAGAGGCAGCAAGGAGACTGATCAATGAATACGATCAAGTCAGAGAAACACATTGTTTACAAAATTGTATTCAAATTTTACTGCTCGTAAATCAGAATATGTGAGAACTTGTGTTTAATTTTACAACGTCCACGCAGAATTAAGTAAAACTAAGTGTCAAATGTGTTCTTCTAGACTAAATTCTACATACGTAGTAATAAGCATCCATCCATCCGAAATTTCTCATTTAGCATGAAGTACATTTCATAGAATACTGAAGTTTTCATACTCATTGCTCCAAATATGATAAGACATTTATCATATTTGGAGCATAATATGTCAAAAAAGTATTTTATGGTCAATTAAATACATCAAATAAATTAACATAATATTGTGAGTAAGCAAAAGTAATTCAATAAGGCAAAACAGTAAAAACGTATGGGATCCGATATTTGTATTAATATAAAAGTCAAGGGTAAAAATATTTCCATGTTAACGTAAAATGTCATATAGACATCGTTCCCAAAAATGAGAAGACGAAAAAAATCAGATTTCATATTAAATATTTTTTTCCCCGTCAAAAGAACAGTATGCTTACAGGGACGCTTTAAATTTTATTAATAAGTTAAAAAAATTCTTCGCTCAAAGAGTTTTTCGTCTAGCGACCTCGGCGAATCTAAATTGCCTCCTGCTCTTTTACCTCCCCCTCCTGCCTTGAGGCAACGGATCCCTTAAACTCGAAAATGTGTTTTAATTTTTTCACAGTCCATTTGCAAGGCGGGCTTTTATTTACGCATTATTAAACGTTGATGTTTTAAAATATAGAACCGGAGTTTAAGAAAAAAAAAAGTAGTTATGTGAGTAAGTATTTCTCTCTATTATAATAAACGATCTAAATTATTTTATACTAGCTTTCGCTTGCGAGAATGACCGAGCGGATTTA